CAGAATGATCCTGGGTTAATAAGCATCTTATATTAAAGCTTTTTTCTTGAAATTGAACTTGTTTTCTGCCATAAACTTTAGCATCTCCACATGCCAAGCAGGAATCTTCATATTTTTTCCTGTAGATCACTTTGTTTTCTGTGAATAAGAACACTATAATAAAGTTAAATTTCTTTATGTTGATATCTAGTTTAAACCTTGCTGCATCTGAAATTGATTTCTCAAAATCAGAATCAGATCTCTAATATTCTACTACAATCTCATGAAAATGTGCGAGACATGGCAAACCTAGTGTGCCAGCAACATGGACTGCTAACTGAAATCGTGCACATGGACAGATTTATATTTCCTAATAAAATATCTAAATAATCTACTGAGATGGGCAAGTATTTTTAATTTTATTGTTAGGAAACAAAGTGTAGGACCACTTCTCTCTGAACCATCGATAGAGCTTACTGAAGGTCAAGGAACTTGAAGAAGGTATTTGGGGAACATGAAGACCGTATTTATGGCAACGCAGGTAGAGGACCCGTTCTTTTGACTTCTTACTTTGTAATATGCATTAGAGTTCTTCCCTTATACTTTACACCTGAAAAAGCATCGCTGTTACTGGTTGTTGTGCAAGTCTGAAAGATTTTTTATGTTTTTTAATAATCGAGATTATTAAATTTTTAATTCAAACGCTAATGAAACAAAGTGATGGTTTTACACAAGGCATGACTGTCCCCATATTCTTCTTAGGAAAGGTCTACATCATCATCTCAGGCTACTTACCTTGTAGGTGTTTTTTGCCTCTTACCATCAATGTAAGCAGTAAAACTGACCCAAACTGACTCTGCTGACATTCTCAACTATTTTCAACTATACAGTATAAATAGATTTCAGAAGAAGTTATTTATTTTGGACATGATGCAATCTTATTAACTAGTAATATATATCATGAAACTCTATATTAGATCTCTGAATTTTGTTCTTTTTATTAAAAATTACGTTTAATCGTGCTAGTGGCATTTAACTAGCTGGTGCCAGAATATATGTTATGTTTACACATAGGAATCTGCTGGCTTTCTTCTGTGATTTTGAACATCCTGTATATTCTGTAAAACTTCTAGCATTGTTTTGTAGAAGTGTACTGTGTTTGAGTGATCGCTGAATTGAGGATGCAGAATATTTCATAGTTCTGTGCAGGCTTTGGAAGTTTGTAGCTGAGATGTACAATATTTTCAGACTAATCTCAGGATCGCACTTAGATTTAAAGACTTAATTCTTGCCAGATCATTCTCTGTTAATTAAGAATTCGCTGGAAAAGTATCATCTCTACTAGATTTTTTTCAGGTGTCTAATTGTATTTGTGCTAGTTTTCATGCAGTAATTCACATATAGAAAAATGAATTCATCTTCATAAAAATCTTTAGTGTGAAGACTGTTATTTAAAAGGGATTCTTAGATAAGAGTCATTTCTAAAGCAAAACTCAAATATAAAAAAGAAGCAGAATGTGAGAACATAAGATCTGAACTGTCAGCCTGAATGGTTTCTTGTGACTATTATAAAGTTGCTTCCTGATGTGCTTAATTCTGTTCTGCAACCTCTACAGTTTCCTTTTATAGTAGCATAGTTAAAAAATGTTAGACGTATGTAGTTTTACTTCACTTCTCTTAAATGGAGAGAGGGGAAAATGATCTGACTGTAGACAGTATGCAGATTTACTCAGTTGCTATTATAAAACCTTTTAATTTATATCACTACAGCTTAAAATAGATTGATTTAAACTATCCTCAGGTACGAGTCTCAGGGAAATATCTGTATGATATAGCTGAGTGTGTCCTGAGCACAGATTCTTTTCGTTGTACTTAAGTTAAAATTCTCAGCATTTCTTTCTTATTCATTTCTTTTTCTTAATTGGAGGAGGCAATTTCTGTAGCCCTAATATACTTAAAATGGAGCTGGGATATAAATCAATAGGACAGATATTAGGAAGTTAGTTGGTAACGTTTCAGAACATTACTTATTTCTGCTGGGACAAGATTAAAAAAACAAACAAGCAGAAGGATAAACTCTGAAAGGCTGGAACTAACTTCTTATTCAGGACTTGTAATTAAAACAATTCAAGCAATGTTTTCTGAAAGATCAAAAGAAAAATGACAATGAGCTTCAAAGTATTTCATGATATTAGAAACCTCCGTTTATTTGAAGCCTTTTTCCATTAACATTTTTCACAAAGATTACATAGCAAAACTTAATTTTAATTTAAAAGATCTAATCTCTCATTAATTATAGCTTGATTTCTTTCAGTGACTTATGATTTTTATTTTAGTGTAAGATACATCCACCAGAAGTAGTATGGTCATTTAGTTATTTTGGCTTCTATCATGAAAGACAGTGAGCACAATGATTGATTCAGCAAAACCTTTAATAGTATTTTCACTGTAAGCATGCAGTTATGTCTCAGACTCAAACACCCACATGTCGAAAAATCCTCAGGTATTTGGACTTACCACAATTTGGTATGCGATCTTATAACTGTCCTTTGAAAATAGGGGACAATCTGATGAAGACATCTTACCATATCTTCAAATATGGTCACTGAAAAAAATGCTCTGTAAATGGGCCATTTGGCATTGTTGAGCTCTGTTTGCTGTCTCTAGGTCAGTGAGGGCATTCTTCTGTCCTCTGACTCTTGTTACCTCTTCTCTGTTACAATTTCTCCCTACCCACCCTATTTGCATCCACTTGGTGTGGGAAACTAGCAAAAATTTTTGGTGCTGCGCTACAGTTGGGAAGCGTAAAACCCTCTGGGCGTGAAGCCTTGCGTGACGCACAGACCGTCACCCGCGACCTGAAGTGATGGGGCAAAGAGAAGGTGTTCTCTTATGATCTGCTATAAGGATGGGTGAGGAGCCGATTTCCTCTCCTTCTCATTCAGCTTGAGACTGTCTGCCTGAGACATATGCAAGACCAGCAGCTTATGAGGAAATTGGTTTTAAGACGAGTTCTAACATCTGGGCTTCAGTAGGGAATTCTTCCACTGTGTGCATTTTTACCTGCTGTGCAATGTAAATTAAGCCTCTCACTTGTCTTGTTGTCTTAAAGTTATGCCTACGTGTTATTTACATATGCCTCTACAAAACTAGTGTTTTGTAAAGGTTTGCCCATATAAGAGCAGATGTAAAATTCCATATGCATTTCTGAAACTGATCGACAAAGGCATGGAGTATATATTTTATAGCATTTTTACTGCATAGCTCCTTCAGTCTTTCTAGAGGAAAAGAAAAGACTTGGCACTGACTACACAGCTGAAGATTTACTGCACTCAAAATTCAGTTGAGAGAGAAAGTAGTATTCTCATATAATGTCACGGGAGCTGACGTAATTGAAGTATGTTACAGCTTTTATCAATATTGCTGGAATTCTGTTCTTTCATTTCAGCTAGTGACTCATACTGCAGTGCAACTAGAGGCACTCACCTCTACGTCACCTATCAGCTTATTATTCAGAGCCAAGGAATTGTTAGCATGTTAATATTCTGCTGAGTGCTTCAAACATTATTTATGAAATAGCAGTTTTTCCTTTAAACAAAATCTCTTGAACCTAAATCAGCTTAATATGTTTTTGTAATCCTCCTGACATTCTTACTAGTCTATTTCTAATAATACACTTTATTCTACTGTTCCTGTAACAGCTAGCAGGGAGTTTGCAATCCCAAATCCTATCTAAAGTCTCACTTCCAGAGCCTCAGAAGAGGAGGAGTCTAGGTGAAGTCAAAGACCAAGCCCTTAGATACCAATGGAGTCTTGTAGAACTTTCTAGTCTACCCTCAGACTGATCCTTGCTGATCAGGTGTATTGCCAGAAGCAGAAGAAGTCTTTCAGCAAGACTGGTAAGTTAAGAACAGAACCTGAGAAATTTGGACCAAGCGTACTGACTTTCATAGGAGAACTAGAAAGTGACAGTCTTCCCTCTTGATTAGAGGCTATTTGGTGTGTAAAATTCATTCTTCATACATAAGTTTCAGAATTCATTCTTTCTATATAAATGAATTCTTCATATATAACTTTCAGAAATGTTCCATTTTCAAGCATATACATGTTGGCTTTCCTAATATGCGACTTAATCACAGTAAGATTCTCCTGCAAAACAGAGATGTCCTTTTTTTCTTTTCCCTTGACTGTTGCTAAACCACTGTGACTGGCCTAATGCTATTCTGTCAGTCTGCTTGTTTCTGTTAAGCATATTTTATTTCATTATTTCTTAAAGTCCCTTTTAATTCATATGGCACCTAGTAAAAGTAGACTGGAAAACAAAGTTGCATGGAATGACTGGAGCTAATCACTGCATTGGCTGCTAATTTTTCTGTTCTTCTCACTTGTGAATTGCACCAAGACTCTGATATTCACTTTTGTTTCCTATTTGTGTTGCATTTGAACACCAAGTGCAAAAGTTAAATGTCTTCCTCTTGTTTCTTTTTAACAGGCAGCATCAGCATGACTGAGCCATCTGGTTGTTCAGAATTTCACTGCATGTTTCTGACCACAACTTTATATTGGTTTACTAGCTAGCACAATTATATCACAAGTGACATTCTGCTAATGTTGTTGTAGACATACCAGAAATATCATCTGTTTTGCCTATGATACATTATTAGTTCCTTAGCAAAACAGTACTGCGATCTTAGAGAAATATACAAAATAAGTGACTGAAAATCTAAGCGTTAATGCAGTTATGTTGAAAGCAGCATTTACCAGCTGTGGAAAACTCGATCCGATTAACTGTAATTACCTCGGCTATTACCTGGTATATACCTGTTCATATATACATCTTCATTGTCATCTATCCAAACAACTGAATCGTTAGTAATGTTAACGAGGCTGTTATCATGGCTGTTTTGAGTATTGTCCATTGAAATGATGGGTTAATTCTCTTTTGGGAGTATTTGATTCTGGCTTTCTGAAAACTCAAGAATGGTTATCTGCATCTTTTTCATTGTATTCATGTCTTGTAGGGTTCTTCACGCCATTGACACCTAGAAAGACTTTTTTTGAATGGAGGAAAACCTGGACTGTGGAAAGCAATTAAGGGTTGCCTGTACGCCATGCTCCCAGGTAATCCTGTTCACTCATGTCTGAAAATAATGCAAAACTGTCCAATCTGTACTTATCAGCTTTATGTTGTAAAAAGAATGCTATCGTATTGTATTTTGTCAGGGAAATGACTGCAAGCTTTGTGACATGAGAAATGTTTTTTCATCTCTAGTGTTTTAGAAAAAGATTTTGCATCTTAGTAGTTTAAACTATATATCAATCTTTAACTGAATGCCCAACTTTCAGACTTCTAATCTGTTTGCTTGCCTGTGTACCATACTGTCTGTCTATCTTTTGTACCTATGTGGCATTATATTATTAGGCTTTTTTGTACAAGCTCTCACTTTAGCTCAGGTGCCTTTTCAAGAGTTAGGTTGCACCATATCACCAAATTGAAATAGAGTCACAAGAAACCTAGTCTGGTTTTTCACCCCCAAAACTGTATTCTCTTGATAAAAATGTTTTTCCTGACTTGATAATGAATTGCTGAATGATGAGAAATGGCTTTATGTGGTAATGATAATGATACTTTGTAGCAGCCTTCACTTGTTGCTTTTTTCCAAGGTTATTGGGTTGCACTGTAAAAATAGTTAAGTATTAATATTGATATTTAACATATGTAGATGCAAAGCCAAATGATTAATGGGAGAGAAATAAGAGTGGGCAATAGAACCAAGACCCTCTCTGATCACTCCACTACACTGGATTTCCTTTTAGAGTCACAAGAACATTAAAATGACTTTTCTGACTTCTTGTAATTGCCGTTCTTTCCCCAAAATAATACACAATAAATCTTTGAAAATTTTTGAATCAAGTACAATTAGGAATGTGTTCACTTATTTGTTGAGCTTGTGCAGTAGCATATCAATGTGGTGCCAGCCAAGATTGGTGCACACACACGTTGTGTCTGCCTGGCAGTGTAGCACTTTTCTGAGCAACAAAAAAAGGGACTTCTTGTATACAGTTCTGTCTAGGAACCTTTCTCCGCAAAGGCCCTACACAACTTAACATTGTCTTTTAACCCTTTTAAAAAGTTGGCTAGGATTTGTATTCTCTCCAACCAGAGTTTGATATGTAACCCTGGAAACGTACAGCAAATTCAGGGAAGTCCAACTTTTACCAGTATGAGTGAGTAAAGAAAAAAAAAATTACTGCAGTATGAGTCAGGGCACAAAGACCTGTTTATCCTAGCCATTTACTTTTACCAGAGGTAAATTGCCTAAAATTATGAAGCTAGGAACACTGTTTAAGGGGTGCTTTTTGTGAATTTGTTATCCATCTACTATAACAGAGAGCTACTTGGCTGGAAGACATTGCAGATATTGCATATTATAATCTAATCATAGTACTCCCTATATGTTACAGATGACACACAAAAGATTACTTCAGCCTTAAAAATGATGCAGTACTTCGGTAATGTGACAGTCTAAATGCGTATGAAAAGATAACATACTGTCAGAGATCCATTTCTCTGTTACTAAACTTACAGAACCATAGAGAAAAGAAGCTGCTAAAGAAAACGAACACTGTTTAATACTGCTAATGAATGACTAGTCATATAAATCGTATATAAAATGTTAGAAACTTACTTTATGCTGCAAGGTGCTGTCACGCAAAAGAGACAACTCAAATATCAAATTTATCAGCCCGTTTTCATTTCTTTTTTTTTTTTTTTTCCTAATGATCAGAATCAGTGTTATTTGCAGGCTGTCAGCCTCACTCCTGGATAAAAAGACAGGATTGTGCTGCTCTAAAGCATATCTCAGTTAAGGAGACAAGGAGATAGATAGAGACATCACATTTAAGGGTTAACCTACTGTATAAATACAGTAGTCACTGAAAATGGTACAGCGTGTAACAAACTTTGAGTTAACCTTTAGTGATCCATATCTGTTAATCAGCTCTATATTATGCAGTTTCTACTTATGTTTATAATGATACAACTGAATGTCCTTGGTACTAATGATGCACGATTGTTTGATTCTGTTTGTGCAGTATCGCTTAATAGTGATGTCTTCATCTCTTGGATGAGGCTAGCTAATTTATGTGCTTCTCTATGAAGAGAGGACTGTTGCTATAATACAGTGACTCAGCTAATCGAAATTGCTGACTGCTCTGCCTGAATTTAAATTTTTCCTCTGTATACAGAACCAAATTCTAGGGATTTCTGTTACAATATGCAGCTCCAAAAGAAAAAGCTCAAATATTCATATTAATTGCACACAAAAGTAACTGATTTCAATCACTATGTCAAATGTCTGTGATAAAGCTCAGCTTCCTGCAAAATGTAAGCATCTGACATTCAGCGTAGCTATGTCTTATATTTATACATGGATTCTGATATGTTAAAAGAAGCTTATGGAAAGCTCCTTAGATCCTTGACAGAAAGTTAAAATTGCTGTTCACGTAGGACAGAGACATCCTTCGGCAAAACTAAATATTTTTCTATAAATAACATTTTAGGCATTGAAATCAAAATCTCTCCTAGAGCTTTCATGGTTGGCAAAAGTGACATTGTCTTACAACTAGTTGTTGTGTAAAATCTCCTGCTATAGAGGAACCCACCAGCGTTTGCACAATGAGCCACCTTGTATACTATGTGTCACAACAGGAGGCAGTTCTGGCTTTGTGATGTTCTCCTGGAGAATGCCCTGCCAGCTGTCAAAATTATAATTTTTTGGAAAATGAATGCAAGTCAAGTGCTTCTCCTCATCTTAAAAGATGGCACAGAAAGAGGTAAGTCCTTGGAATGATATGCACATTTCTAGATGAAAACTAACATCAGTAAGATAGCAGTCAGCTAACTGCATTCGGATTAAGACCTAATATGGTGTGTTAAGAAAAAGGCTTCTCCGAGTTCTTAACTCAGCTCTAATTTTCCATCTCGTGACGCTTCACATGTCTGTCTTCCAAGCTTTGTTTTGATTGTCACACTCAAACTATGCTAGGGGGCTGGAGATTAGATTTTTCATCCCAGGACCATTGCAAAATGGTTAATGTACAAATCTGAATGTAAAGTGAATCGAGCAAAGGGTCAGTGACTGATCCTGAAGCTTGTGGATATATAACATTATAGGAGTCTCATAATCTGTTATATTTCTATTAAAAAAGCTTTAATATTAATCCTGATAAGCAGAGAAATATTGTGCAAGCAGATGCAATATAACTTGGTTTATCTACTTTATGTCAGTTTTATTTTATTTCAGACTCTGAAAATAATAGAAATAAGGTTATTCTAGCACAGCTCTTTCGTGAGGGATGGAAAGGGGGATTAATACCGAACACTTTTACAAAGCCTTGTAGCATCTCTGAGTGTCAAATGCCAGAGATTATCTCTTGCTCTGTTTCAGCTCAGTAAAAGAAGTAGAATTAATCCTTCAAATAACCCTGCAGTGGTTCTAAGAAATCAAATGCTTAAAGCACAATTATGCTTAGAGTGATTTAAAACATATGATTGATGGTAATGAATCTGCACCATGGAAAAGCTGTAAAGTATTAGAAGTTAGAAAATTTTCCTGATTTATTAAGACAGTCATATGCTGATGGAGGAAAAACCTAAACCTGTTCTTCTGCTTTGCATCCTCATCTTTTATTCATACTGATTTCAAAGAGCATATTGGAAGAGAGTCTTCTTTCCTTTTTCAGTCATTCATGGTCTCTAAAAGGAGTATAACATTTAATGAAACACAAATTAAAAAAATGACAGTTTTAAGGGTAGTTACAGCACATTAACAACCATTACTTCTTGAGTTCAATTCACCATGTCATATAAATATTGTCACTGATTCACTCTTCATCTTGACAGTACAAAAATATATCAGGTGGATTGGTACCTAGAGATGGTATGGTTGTTTTCAGGTATATGTAACTATGAACATCATAAAGATTTGTTTTTAGAAAGCCTTTAGATATGCATTTCAAGTCCAGTTGATTATTAGTGGGTTCTACATCCAATGGTAGAGTAGAACATACTTAAGACTATGTTGCAGTACTGCTTAGTCTTGGTAGTTAGTCCAGCCAAGAGAATATTTCAGGGCATAAGTGATCATTATATGGATGAGGAAAGAGCGTTTCCCTCAATATGGCACTTATTACGGTATGATTTTTATATTTTTACAATTTTAAATTTCCTTTGCTAGTGCTAAAATTCCTCTGGTTAAACATGCAATCAAAATTACCTGATAACAGGAACTACATTGGACTATCATTTATTGTGCACTATATTGGACAGATTTAATTCAGGATTTAGCACAAAGTTATCAGCAGACATTCAGTCAATTTCAGTGCAAAAGAAGTGTCCTTCCTCACTTGGCCTAAGTCTGTGGTTGTGTATAAGGACATTCTGACTTTTAAGTCTTATGTAAAGGCAGATCGGTGTGAGTTCCGAATGCTTGAAAAGAGTATCTTTTTTGGGTTATTAATTGAACAATATTTTCTCCAGTCCACAGGATTTAAAAAAACAGGTCCAGCTGTGGATTTGGCAGGACTCACACGTGGACTAGATTACAGCCCAATATGTTATAGTGAAAGTCTCATTTTCACATTTTTCAGATCACTTGCCCTCCTTATTTTGCTTTGCTAGGTTAAAAATTCTTAAGCAAAATAATCATTGCATAGCAAATGGATGATATTAAATTCATTACAGTCAGCAAAATGAAAACAATTTTCTGAAGGAACCCATGAACAAAGACGTAACAAAATCTGTGAATAATATAGAAGATGATTATAATAGTGTACTTGGCAGCATTACAAGAAGTAACACAATTTTGCACAACAATTTTAAATGGGGGGCTTCCTTCTCATTGAATGTCACTGAGAACAACCAAAGCTATTTGAGTCTCTGTCATGCTTGTGGGCACACGTTCAGTTTCTATATTTTAAAAATAGTTTTAAGGAATTAGTAAGCCTTAACTGCTTAAAATAGACAGTAAAAATTACCAAAAAATGTTTTTAATTTATATCTTAAGCGCTCTAGTGGGGTATCTGAGATAGAAGATTTCAGGTAAAAAAGCCATTTTATTTGCATTTGAGGGAAAGAATTCAAACCACAGGTTTAATATGAACCTTTACAATCTTGCTCATGGAGTTAATGCTGTATTTTCTTAATTAGGATTCCCATCTCATTTATTGCTAGTCTATAAACACGAAAGTAGTCAATATTTGTGACCTGTGTCTTGGAGGAAATAATTTGTGACTGGAATGTCGACAATTTCTCAAAGCTCTTCAGGGAAAAAAAAAAAAAAAGAAAAGAAACTTGTGCTATTTGGGAGATGTGTACTGTTTTGTACACAAAATGTGTTTTAAGCTAGCTAAACTAGTATGTTGTTTTGCAGTAAATGACTCTCTAGAATTTCTTTCTGTACTAGGGCCCTAAATTGTAAAGGCTGACAGAAGTTTTTCTTCCTACATCCAACTTATTACAGCTTTTGAATTATCCTCCAAATTCCTTTTATTCCTACGAACTGTTCCTTTTTGTTAGTAGAATTCATAGGTGCATATTCCCGTACTTTTCCTGTAAGGGTAAAAATCTCTCATTCTAAACCTTGCAACTGAATTAAAGTCCTACTATTACTATGTGCTGTCAGTAAATTATATTTTATATTAGGTTGTGATGTTATTGCATTATTATTGTTATAGTTATTTAATTATTGTTATAATATTGTTATGTTGTTATAATATTATGTTGTTGTTACATAGAAAATTGACCTTCATGTTTTAAAATTCATCTTCCTCAAAATTTCAGCATAAAACATTTCTTCTGACTGGTAAAAGTTGATAGGAGGAATGAGTCTGAACATGTCCTACAGTTGCTTGTAGTTATTTAAATTTGTTTATAGTTGATACAATATGGAGGGGTCTCTTACAATAATTTTCTTCTAATTCACATACCACAGACTATAGATTTTCATCAAGTAATTCCCTCATCAACACCATAAATTCTGATTGAGGTAAATATGTCTTCTAAAAACATATTTAATCTTGATGTAAAACCTTCTACTGATAGCTATGGATATAGACAGTTTTCTAAGTTCTTCTAATGGTTTGTTATCATCTCTGTTGCAAATGTAGATCTTACTTCTGGACAACCTCTGACAATCTTTAATTTAAAGCCATTTCATCTTGTTATAGCAATAACAGAAATTTTTCTCCTGTTAAGAAAATTTCCAGATTATGATTGAAACGTTTTTCGTATCATACCATGCCTTTTAAGTTTTTCCTTATGTGGATGCCAGGCCTGGCAAGCTATATCATAAACAATATTATTAATGGTGAACACAGTGAATAGTACCTTTTTCTTTTCAGTCTGCATCCCTATGGTTAAATGCTCTCTAATCACATTTACTTTGTCTCTATTCCTGTGGTTAAATGCTCACTAATCACTTTCTAAGCCATGCCATCACACTGGGAATTTGTATTTGCCTTATTACACGTCTGACCCTGTAAATCTTTGAGTTTCTGGATTTCTATTTAACAGCTTTTGTTCATGTGGTCTTTTATCTTTAACAGGTTCTCATCTAAAAAAAGCTGCATCCTTGATTTCTAGATATATGTATTTTTTATATTAAAATGTGTGTTTTTCTCAAATGAGGCTATCTTATCTTTTGAGTTGGAAGGCTCAAGAACTCACTTGTATTTATTAAAACTTAACATTTTCTGACTTTTTGCACCTCTTGCAAACTTTCTGGAAACTATATTTTATTTCAGATGCAAAGATTTTTTTCTCTGCATGTGCATTAACAAGTTATCGGTGAATATGTTGGATAGTTGTCACATCTGAAGGGTCTTACTGCAGCCTTTAATTTAGGAAGAAACTGTAATGTAATCAATGAGAGAGAGGCCAATAACTAGCAAAAATTTTAATAAATCAACTGACAAAAGGATGGTTTCTGGACGTAAGACTTAAAGTCTTTACGATGAAGTCTTCTTATCTTCGCTATAGTTATCGTTTATAGAGTGTAGACACGGTAGGTGATATAAATACGTGAGGGAAATCTTGATATTATATGAACTACAATCTGTAGAACTAGATATTTCTGCCTATCTTCTGTAAGTATCAAACCAACATTATTTTGATTTAGCACTATGGGAAATCTGTCTGCCTGTTCTGCTTTTGAGATGATGCTTTGCGCAGACGCTACTTCTCCCCAACTCCTCATTATTTGGCATTGCTGCTAGAAAGAGGTGGCAAGTGGCTAGATGCTTCTTGGGACACCTTCTTATGTAGCACCTCTCTCTCCTTGTAGATTTGCTAGCTCCCAGATTTATTAACCTCTGAGATACATTGCAGAATTGCAGATCTCTTTCTATCTTTTATTAATAGAGAGGTTTGTGTAGTTTAAAAAGAAAAAAAAAAAACTTGCAAAATCAAACTATTAATGCTTAATTGAAGTTTAGTACCTATTAGATGTTTCCCATGCTGTGCAGTACCCTTGAGAAAGGGTCATTCCTGTGGCAATTAGGCATGTTTTTAAACATGGAGAACATAAAAGCTAATGATGTTTTTCTTTTCCAAATGTCCTGCCCAGACCAATACTCATTTTACTCAGGCAGACATTACTCAGTCATGTATAACTCTAAATTATATTTTTTCATGATTACTGAAAAAATTCCACTTCAGGTCTTGTCTCATTTGACTTCATCTTATTGAGATAAAGTTCTCACAAAGAAAATAATTTACACAGGTTCAAAGACCTTACAATATTTTTTTAAATCTGTATTTTCAATGGAGTTCAACATCATAAACTTTGAGGTTGTGTTTCTCTATAAAGACAGATTGCATAAGGCATGCTACCTGATTAATAGTTATTTCCAAAATAAGAGGTTATAGTAATTGCTTTGTTTTCAGGAAGATTAAATATGTTTCTCTGTTTGAAGATTAGTGCAGGAGAAAGCTAAGAGAAGAGATTTATCAAGAGTATTAATTTATCTTGCTGATGGATGAATACTGAATGGGCTGGATTTGCTATGCCAAGTTTTTTCTCATTTCTAATTCTTAAGG